GTATTTGAAGTAAAATCATTTCTAAATATGTTTTTGTTTTCAGATATACGCAGAAATAAAGAGACTTCACAGAAATTTAAATTTTGCCTTGGATATGAAAGCACACCAAGATGACAAAATTCGAAACCGGGACTTCCTTGACTGAGTTGGAACAAAGTTTCAAATAGTCGACCTTTCTTTGCTTGAGTTTTACAAGCTTTAATTAGTATTTATTGTTTTTTATTTGTTTTTGCTGAAATGAATATTTGTTAATCACAATCCTTTCAGAAATGTTGTGAATCATATAAGCCCTGGTCAAAAAGGAAGAGACGAGTTCAAAGGACAAAAATGGCGGATAACAGTATTTGTAAGATTTTCGTTTTAAGTTTTTGAGCCACATGCATGTGAAAAGAGTAAAATTTTCAAGCTTATATATGGCCCGACGTGTGCATTACTGGATTTGCATTTATTTTTAAAAATAGTTTAAAAGATTTCACCAGGTTGGTAATGAAAAAAATAAAATTATGAATGATATATTTTCTGTTTCTTTCAAAAGTTAGATATATTATATTAAATGTTACATCCCCAGACATCCATATAAAGAAATAAAAAAGATAGAACGTATGTTTGGGAGAAGTGAAAAATTATAAGTAAAAAAAATAAAAGAAGAAAATGTCTACAACACCCGGTATTCCCAGGCGGTCACCCATCCAAGTACTAACCGAGCTCGACGTTGCTTAACTTCGGTGATCGGACGAGAACCGGTTTTTTTTTTTTATCATTAAAATTATTTATTTACTATTTACATAAAAACACCAAGAGACAAACCTCTTTGGTGCCATCTTTGGTATGTACAGAGTTGTTAGTATTAACCTTTTTGTTAGTATTGATTTCCATCTAGATATATTTTTTAAAAGACAAACATGTGTTTATAAAACAATTAATGATTCACTGTATACCCAAAGAGAGATAACTCTAATATGTTTTTGCAAAAGTCAAACACACCCTTTGGTCATTCATTTGACGGACAACCTTTCTTTTTTTTTAAATTGTATTGTTCTGTTTAAGATTCAAAATAAAATATTCAGAAACAACTAATTAATATTGTAATCAGTTTGATATGGATTTCAGGTGTTTAAAAAAATAAAATTATTTTGTCGTTTTCAATACGCAGTAAGGAATTATTGCGTAAAAAATATTTATCGAAGATCTGTTGTTGGTGTTTTATTTTGTGATAAGTGTATGCATATTCTATATATTTTCTAATTGTAAATTTGAATAGTCTCACTGTATCTATATCTTTATCATGAAACACTTTAAGATTGCGTGTTTTGAAGATGCATAATCTAGCTACACTCACAAAAAAGTTCAAAAAATATGTGTTCACAATCTTTGAACGACCAAGGTACCCAAATATCATCAGTTCCTCATAATTTATCAAATTCACAACATCAGGGGGATAATCAATAAAAATGTTGTGTAACATATCTTTCAGAAAGTTATGTATCGGGGTCAACTTCGGACATAAGGCAAACAGGTGTAACAAGTTTTCTGTATATAGGCCGCACGCTTTGCATGTGTCGCTGTCCACTTGACCAAATTTAAACAACTTTTCTAAGGTAAAAATAGCCCTGTGTACAATCCTGTAGTTCAGACAACGACAGTCAGGAGATAGACCATTCTGATTGGTTACTGAATATAATTTAGTAAAATTGATCGACGGATATTTCTCCGCCCAATGCTTTTCAGCTGTGGGCGTTTCAAACATTTCTGACAGTAAGAGTTTGTAAAAAAAATTTGTAACTGCCCCTAGAAAAGGAACTTCTCTGTCGTTTTCTAGACAAATACGTAATTTCGGAATACTCTCGGTATTTAACGGGTTTATGGATTTCAGTAAAATTTTCCACGTTTCAGGAATACCTCTTAAAATCTTGTCGTATGCAATTTTTATTTCGTGTGGTTTTTCGTCAGGAAAATTTTGTTGGATTATTTCTACAATCGAACCGGAAGTAAAAAAAACGGGAATAAATTCATAACAGATGTCTTTTATCTGGATCAAACCTGAGTGAATGAATTTTTCGAAAAGAAGCATTTTACCGTTTAGCTTTATATTTGGATTACAAAAAATAGGATTATCGTACACATGTTGAATTTCAATTTCAAATTTTAGCTTGGATTTTATTCTATAATAGGCATTAAACATTTCTTGATAATAAAGTGGTAAGTGTTTTAGATGTTTGGAATTTAAATACGTGAACACAATATTTTGTTTTAAATCCATATTTTCAATTTTATTTATGAAATAATCAAGCGCACTTTTCCAAATTGATTGGCAATTCGGGTCAAGATATTTTCTAAGGAATTTTAATCTAAAAGCTTGCATTTTTAGAAAAATATCTGGAATATTTAAACCTCCTGCTAACTTTTGACCAATTATTGTTTGATACTTTACAAGGTGAGATTTATGTTGCCAAAGAAATTTTAAAACTATTAATCGAATTTCGTTTTTTACGTTTTCTGGTAGCGGACATACTGTTAAAGTATAATAAAATCTAGACATTATAAGTGAAGTAAGAACAACTGCTCTACCAGGTAGTGTTAGATCTCTTTTATTCCAAAAAAATAAAATTGTTTTTATTTTTTTAATTTTATCTTTCCAATTCAATAATTCGCATAACTGTTTATCTTTACCAACATAAATACCTAGGACTTTAGTTACAGTTTCACAACGTTGAATTTGCAATGTATTTAGTTCTTGATCATTTATGCTACCAGAACCTAAGCATAAAATTTCAGATTTTTGTTTATTAATTTTAGCACCTGACGCCTCACTATATAGATTCAAAATTTTAAAAGTTTCTTTTATAGAATTTTTGTCGGCAGTAAAAATATTCGTATCATCTGCATGTTGAAAAATTTTTGCCTCTTTATTTGAATTCGGAATAACAACACCTTTAATATTTTTATTCTTTATTATGGCCTGCCCTAATGGTTCTGCAACTAAAACGTAAAGGAGAGCAGAAACGGGACATCCTTGTTTTATTGAATTATTTAGTTTAACATATTTTGTTAAAAAGCCATTACATTTTACGCTACTGTTTACATTTTTATAAAATATTTTTATCCACTGAATGAATTTTGGACCAAAGCCAAATTTTTCTAAAACTAAATATAAATAATCATGATCAACTTTGTCAAAAGCCTTTTCCTGGTCAACTTTTATAAGAAAAGCTTCTAAATCATCGTTTTCAATAATTTCAATTAAATCTCGAATGCTTGCAGTTGTATCTGCAATATCTCGTCCAGGAATACAACACGTTTGATAAATAGAAATCAATTTCGGCAAAACAAATTTTAGTCTGTTGGACATTATTCTAGCCATTATTTTATAATCCACACATAATAATGAAATGGGTCTAAAGTTTTTTAACATATTTTTGTCCCCTTTATTTTTATAGACTAAGTAATTATGCCGTGTCGCATAGATCTTGTCATAAGTTTTTCATCTTCAATGGCTTTAAAACTTTTTAAAAATATTTCTCCGAACGAATGGAAAAAATGACAAAAGAATTCAACAGTTAGTCCATCGGGACCGGGAGATTTATTTTTAGGCATACTAAATAAAGCAGCTTTTATGTCATCCAAACTAAATTCCGCTTCTAAATTTTCCATATCATCTTCAGAAACTTTTTCCGAAATAAAATTTAAAATTTCATTTGCTTTATCTTTGTTTATTGATGTACAAGAGTATAAATCTTTATAAAATTTATGAACTTCATCAAGAATTGCCTCCGTAGATGTGACTATATTATTATCACTATTTTTTAATTCTTTTATAACATTACAGTTTTGTTTATATTTTTCAAGCTGTAAAAAATATTTAGAGTTCTTGTCACCATCTATTGCCCAATGGGCTTTAGAACGCAAAATCGCGCCTTTACAAATGTTTTCTTCATGACATTTTAATTTCAATTTAATTTCCTCAAATTTATTTAAATCAACAATTTCATTATTAGCTACGGCTAATGAAATTTTTTCAAATTCTCTTTGAATTTTAAAATATTCCGATTTTTCGGCACGGGATTTATCTTGCGCAATAACTTTTGCTAGTTGTTTTATTTTATATTTTAAATTATCATACCAAACCAAAGGTTCTTCGTCATAAAGAGGACATTGTTTTTCAGTTCCAATTAATTTATTAATTTTATTCACAAACTCTTCGTCATCTAACAATTTATTATTAAATATCCATAAACCCGGGCCTCTCTCAATTTCACTAAAATCTATATTCAGATTTACAAAAGAATGGTCGCTGAACGCATTATGTTTATAATAAACGTTCTTCACAAATACAGAAAAGGATTTTGGAATAAATATAAAATCCAATCTACTCTGAATTAGATTATTTTGTACAACTCGACGCCAAGAGAATATTCGTGACGTTGGATTTCTTGCTCGCCATATATCATAGATATTAAAATTTTCGCACAACTGATTAATTGACTTGTATGATTTGTCTTCTGTGTGTTGTGTTTTTCCGCACCTGTCAAGTTTTGACATAGATGTGTTCATATCACCCAACAAAATAATGTTTTCTGTGTTTATCAATTTTCCACTCAAGTTTTCGAAAAATGTAGTTCTCTCAAGAACCGAATTAGGTGCATAACAATTAACAATATTTATTAATTTTTCATCTTGTTGTAATTGAATATGTACACATCTACCGTCAAAACTTTGTATATAATTTACTTCATGTTCAACCTTTTTACTTATCAAAAAGGCAACACCTTGTCTATGTGTTTCAGCACACGAGTAAAATATTTTACCATTCCAAAACTTAGAAAAACTAGTAACTACATCATCTGACCAAAAAGTTTCTTGGATAGCTACAACATCATAATAATTTTCCGAACAAAAAGAACAAAACTTTTGGAATTTTGACTGATCCCTCAAACCATTAGCATTTATAGATACAATATTAACCATCTGTACAAAAAGTAAGAAAGAAAATAACTTTATATCTATGAACTTGAACTTGATACTTTATTCCGGGGTTCCCTCCTAAATTTTTTAAGCTCATCTGAAGTAAATTTTGGAGATGTAACTAAACGCTTCCTCCTAATTTTACTCATATTCGCAGCCAATTCCTCGTCGGTCATTTCAATATCAACTACCTTAGATTCATCAACTCCTGTATTTTTACCAACAGAATCAGTCAAATTAGGCCCACGAGGAACTGGCTGTGGCTCTAATTTTGATGGGCTAGACCCCCCTTTTTTATGCATTTTATTATCAACAATTACTGCCTCTTGTTTGTTTGAATGTTCAGCATCAGTCATCAAATCTAGAACATCATTGTCAACACCAGACGTTTGTTGTTCATTGGAATCTGTAACATCATTGTCATTTTTAGCGTTTTCATTGAAATGTTCATCTTTGTCATCATTGTCAACATCACTTTCCTCCATGGTATCATCGCCACCGTCACTTTTCTCCGTGTTATCATCGTCAACATCACTTTGCTCCATGTTATCATCATCACCATTGACTCCATCCGTGTGCTCGTCTTCAGCTTCATTCTCGTTCATATCATCATTTTCTTGATGTTCAGTGTTTGTTTCATGTCCAGGAATGTCAGAATTTGTTTCATTTTCTGGATTGTTAGCATTTATATCATTTTCTGTGTTATCATTATTTGATTCATTTTCATTTTTTTCATTTCTATCCCTGTTCCAAACCGGCTCACACCGACAGTATGGTAACACTTTATGACATGTTTCACACGGTGGAGTTTGACAAGCTCTTGCTAGATGTCCGAAGCGTTTACACTTATAGCAAATATTATCCGGACAGTTTGCATAAACATGACTTGTCTCAAAACACTGGGTACAGACTCTCTTTTGTTCGTCATGAACTACTCTTATATATTCAAATGAGCTCACACCAGTTGATAGTTTCAATGTATATGGTAAACTTTGTCGTTCAGGGGAAAATCTAACTACTACATACCGTGTACCATTAGCGACGTCAGTACCAGGATACATTTTCCGCTTAATGGGCGACTTGAGTGTTACACCAAACTCCTGCAATTTCTCTCGTATTTCAGAGTCGGGCACATAGTGTGAAACGTTGAAAAAACTGACAACTTTATCACGCGAAAAAAATAGCTCTGGGTTTAAAATTTGAGTTCTTAACCTTAAAACCTGTATCCACAATCAAATCTAAAGCATCTTTATCAGACAACGTAAGTTCATAACTATTACCACTTTTTGGAACACATGCAAGGACTGTTCCCTCACCAACTTCTTTTTCCACATTAGCGATGACATCGACAGCTTTTATAGTCCGATTGTCACCTACATCCACTAACACAGTTTTTTCCTTGATGGAACGACCATCCCCCCTTCCACCAGACATGGTGAAGGGAGGTGTGAAAGTCTTAATAAGTGTCAAAAATGCACAAAATATGGCCACAAATAGTTCTACTAAAACAATATATGAAATAATATTGACTAACCATCAACGGATGGCTAGTCACACAACACAAACTTAACAGATTTTTCTCTGGTTTAGAAGGCACGTCTTCGTTATCCAAATCCAAAACCGGAAGTCCCTGGGACTTCCTTGACTGAGTTGGAACAAAGTTTCAAATAGTCGACTTTTTTGCTTGAGTTTTACAAGCTTTAATTAGTATTTATTGTTTTTTATTTGTTTTTGCTGAAATGAATATTTGATAATCACAATCCTTTCAGAAATGTTGTGAATCATATAAGCCCTGGTCAAAAAGGAAGAGACGAGTTCAAAGGACAAAAATGGCGGATAACAGTATTTTTAAGATTTTCGTTTTAAGTTTTTGAGCCACATGCATGTGAAAAGAGTGAAATTCTCAAGCTTATATATGGCCCGACGTGTACATTACTGGATTTGCATTTATTTTTAAAAATAGTTTAAAAGATTTCACCAGGTTGGTAATGAAAAAAATTAAATTATGAATGATATATTTTCTGTTTCCTTCAAAAGTTAGATATATTATATTAAATGTTACATCCCCAGACATCCATATAAAGAAATAAAAAAGATAGAACGTATGTTTGGGAGAAGTGAAAAATTATAAGTAAAAAAAATAAAAGAAGAAAATGTCTACAACACCCGGTATTCCCAGGCGGTCACCCATCCAAGTACTAACCGAGCTCGACGTTGCTTAACTTCGGTGATCGGACGAGAACCGGTGTTTTCAACGTGATATGGTCGTAGACACTAAAGTGCTAAAAAATTTGATATATAAATTTAGGAACCGCCGAAAGTCGTGTATTTAGCATTTCTTGACAGAATTTGTATAAAATAAGAAAATTATCAGGTATAAAAATATATATAAACTACACGATCCAGAGTGGAAGATAGTAAAACTTAACAAGTTCACATGCACTTTAGAGAAGACAAAAAAATGCAAGAATAGAAAGACAGATATGGAATATGGGGACGAGCTTGATTTTATTTGTAACCAAGTTATGTACCATGCAACAATTTCAGACTCTTTTTGAAAAATTTTGGTAGCCCTTAAAAGGGCTGTTTAAGCTTTAAAAGCATCATATGCTTCCTCCATTTACTTCTTCTTTGGGGTCTTTGCCTTCTTTGGTTTAGCTGCAGCCTTGGTCTTTTTTGGTGATTTTGTGGCTTTCTTTGCAGATTTGGCAGCGGGTTTTGCAGCAGGTTTCTTGGTAGCTGGTTTCTTTGCTTTTGGTTTAGCTGCTTTCTTTTCGCCAGCTGGTTTCCTTGCTGCAGGTTTCTTTGTGGCAGTCTTTTTAGGTGTCTTTGCCTTCTTTGGTTTAGCGGCTTTAGACTTAACTGCTTTCTTTGCTGGCTTCTTAGCTGGTTTAGCCACTTCACCTATCTTAAAACTTCCAGAAGCGCCGGTACCCTTCGACTGTTTCAAGCTATTGCTCTTCACTCCTGATTTCAAAGCTAACTTCAAGTGAGTGTTGACTGTTTTTGCATCGCTACCAACATTGAAGTTTGCTATGATGTACTTAAGGATGGCTTGACGGCTAGAGCCACCGCGCTCTTTCAATGCAGAGATAGCTTTCCCTACCATCTCGCTGTATTTTGGATGAGTAGCTACTTTCTTTGGTTTAGCTGCAGCTTTCTTCTTTGGTGACTTAGCTGGAGTCTTGACTACTACTGGTGCATCAGACATTTTGCGACTTTGGTTGTTGAAAGATGTGTGCGAGTTGAACGACAAATAACAATAATGTTCAAACAACAAATGAAAGTTTTTAACGACCTTGACTGGCTATACAGCCCTTACACGGTCGGCCCTGGCTTGCGCCTTTTTGGGCATTAAATAATTTAATTTTTACCATATGGTAATTGATATAATTTACAATGACAAAAACAAAATTATTAAAAAATAATATAGAGTAAAAAATTTTAATAACTAAATGAATAAATAAATTGATGAATAAGTTAATAAATAAAGAAAAGAAAAGAATATAAAAATAAATAAAATAAACTTATATAAAAATGAAATTTTTATATGAAACATAAAATAAAATAAAAATAAATAAAAAAGTATATACGTAAAAATAAATAATTAATAAACACGGAGCCACCAGAAGTAGGAACAGGAGGAAAGCTAGGCCAAGCAAACAGCAGTGAACGGCAGCAACGTTGTCCTGGTACACCAGCAGCCAAGTAAAGAGCGGAAAATTTTAATATGCCAAATTGTGTATGTGAATTTATTTGCCAAATATTTTGTATAAACCGAAAGATGCCTAAATTTGTGTATGCGAGTTTTGCAAAAATAATTAGTAAGATGTTTTGTATGTACTATAAAAAAAAAAGAGAATTAAGTACAATAAAAATAAAATAAATAAAAAAACAATTGTGTATGTATAATTTTGACTGCTTTGTGCTAGTGCTACTTATATTGAGACTTTATAGTGCTAGTACACTGGAACGCTGCCCGCAAGAAGACAGCGCCCCACGCTAATTAAAACTGGGTTAGCGCAAACCAGATCTTGCGAAGTACCATTTTTTTAGTCTTAGATTTGACTTGCGGCTTAATGATATGGAAAATTTATATAAGGACCAAAAGTAGACACAAAAATAATTTGGATGCCGCGAATTTGAAAAAAAAAAGCCAAGGGTTATCGTGAGTTACTGTTTAGTTAGCATAATTTCAATAGTTTAATTTACTTAGCACTAAATATATTTTGACTTATTTTAAATATGTTTAATTATTTCAAACATTTTTTTAGGTTAAAAATTTATTTCGATTTTAATTCGTCTTGAAGAGCTTGCTGTACTGCCGGTTACGGCCTGACTCCATTTCTGAGTCACTGACCCGGATAACTCTTGCAGTGTAGTTGATCTTCTTAACGATGTTTTGTTGAGCCGTCATGAAGAGCCTGCTGTACTGCCGGTTACGGCCTGACTCCATTTCTGAGTCACTGACCCGGATAACTCTTGCAGTGCAGTTGGTCTTCTTACCGATGTGTTGTTAAGCCGTCTTGAAGAGCCTGCTGTACTGCCGGTTACGGCCTGACTCCATTTCTGAGTCACTGACCCGGATAACTCTTGCAGTGTATTTTATTTATTTTATTTATATTACTTTTATTTTTTTTAATACTTATATAAATTTACGGTAATCAATTTCTGTTAAATATTGAACCAAGCACGACCAGACATATTGTTGTTTATCTTTAGGAGGATCTAGCAATATTTTGGTATTAACATTTTGTATTTGAACCTTATCCAAGTTTGATTGTAAATTTTGTCTGGCTTGTGAGTGATTAATACAGTTAACTAGTACGTGTTCTATATCCTCTTTAATGCCGCATGTATTGCATTTTGGAGATACATTGCGGATGTGCTGTCCTAGCTGACCAGGTAATAAAGTAGTACCCAACCTAAGTCTAGTTATTGTTTTTGCATGATATCGATTACCTTGATAAAAAGTGGGTTTTTTATTTACTGTATTATTTATAGAACGACTCCATAGGGAGCATGTGTTATCCCATCTAGCTTGCCACTTTTTCTTATATAATGCTGTTGTTATTGCAATGAATTCGTTTGCACTAAGACTCAGGTTAAGGTCAATTTTATCATTACTTAGCGCTAATTTAGCTAGTTTGTCAACCTGTTCATTACCTAGGATACCAACATGCGCTGGTATCCATTCTATGGTTACTTCTATATTTTTTTGTTTTAGACGGCAAGCTAGTATTTGAATTGGTTCTAGGATATCGGGTCTACTTGATACATTATTTTGTATAGATTGGATTGCACTATATGAGTCAGTGAGAATAACAACTTTTTGCCCTGGCTGTTGATTGGAAAATAGCCACTTTAATGATTGATAAATGGCCGTCATTTCTGTGGTGTACTCGGAAAGATTGTCCGACGTTCGTTTATAGCTTGCAATCAACTTTGATGGTATAAGAAAGGCGTATCCAGTTTTACCCGAAGCTGGGTCTTTTGAGCCATCGGTGTAAATTTTTAAATGATTTTTATAAGCATTGTCAATGTACTCTAACGCTTTAGCCTTAATGATATGCGGATTTTCTTTTTTACTGATGCTGTCTTTGAT